TTGTCTTTCACCCCCTCCTCTCCCTTGAGTACTGTGACTTGGCAGCCTGAGGTTTTCTACAGTGTACCGATGTTCTCTCTCCTTTTTGTTTTTTCCCTCTGTGTTTCATTTTGAATAGCTTCTATTGTTATGTTTTTAAATTTACTAGTCTATTTTTCCAAAGTGTACAATCTGCTATTAAAACCATCCAGTGTATTTTTCATCTCACGTATTGTAGTTTTTATCTCTGAATGTTTGATTTAGGCCTTTTAATATCTTCTATGTCTCTATTTAACATGTTCAATATTCCTCTAGCTTCCTGAGTAGAAAACAATTATAATGACTGTCTTTATATCCTGCCTGCTAATTCGGTCATCTGTGTCATTTCTCGCTAAGTTCCAATTTTGATTTTTCCCCTTATTATGAATTACACTTTCCTGCTTCTTTGCATAATTGGTGTTATTGACCAAATGTTGTGTTCCTCCAAAATTCTTATGTTGAAGCCTAACCCTTAATGTAAAGGTATTTGGAGATAGAGCCTTTGGGAGGTGGTTAGGTCATGAGGGCAGAGCCCTCCCTTGGGAATGGCACCAGTGCCCTTATTAAAGAGATTCCAGAGAGCTCCCTTACCCCTTCCACCGTATGAGGACACACCAAGAAGACAGCCACCTGTGAACCGGAAAATGAGCCCTCACAAGACACCAAATCTGCAGGTGCTTTGGTCCTGGGCTTCCCAGACTTTAGACTATGAAAAATAAATGTCTTTTGTTTATAAGCCACCCAGTTTATGGAATTCTGTTATAGCAGCCCAAATGAACTAAGACACTTGCTAATTTTTTTACTGGATGATGCCTGTTGACCTTTTTGCATGCTGAATATTTTTGTATTCTTAAAAACATTCTTGAGATTTGTTCTGGTTTACAATTAAGTTGCTTAGAAAGAGTTTGATATTATGTACTTTCTTGTCTCGCTTTTGAGCTTCATCAGATGAAATCAGAATAGTGTTTTGTCTATGGTTAATTTTTCCCATTACAGAGGAAAGACCCTTCTTAGTACTCTAAGTGATGCCCTGTAAGTTGTTTTATTGGTGTTTTCTTCCTTTACTGTGACAGACAGAGTAAACAGGAAACAGTTGGCAACAGGCACTATCTCAGCCCTGTGTGAGCTCCAAGCTCTGTTCCTTGTTCCTTGTAATCCTTTTGAGTGGTTCTTTCCTCAGCCTGCATCATTCCCTGGTCAGTACTCAGCTGATAGTGCAAAGGAGGCCTCCTGAGATACTTGGAATTTCTCTCTGTGCACCTGTCTCTCCATTACTTCTCCTGCTGGCTCTTGCAGGCCTGACCTCTTTGGTCATCCACCTGTCTCCCTGCCTGCGGTCCCTGTCACTATGCCATGGCTTGGATACTTTCTTAGCACAGTGAGCTGGGACGGTCCTAGGGGCTGTCTGCATTTGTTTCCCATCTCAGGATGCACTCTCTCCTTGCCTAATCTCCCATATGTTCAGAACATTTTTTTTCACATATTTTGCCCAACATTTTAGTTGTTTCAGGTGGGAGGATAAGTCTGGTCCCTCTTACTCCAGCTAGGCTGGAAGCAGAAACAGTTTCAAGTGATTTTTTACATTTCTTTATGCTTTACTGTATTTTGAGGTATTGTTGTCTTTGCACTAGGCATGTTTTCATTTCACTTATATTGGTTAAAGCTTCTCCATTTACAAAAGTAATTTTTAAAAAAGCAGTCAAATGTCCTACTGTGGAAAGACATTTGCAACATAAGAAAGTTTTAACCATATAAAAGATTTTTATAGATTAAGGAGATAAAGATAGTAACATAATAAGACTATAAATGACCAATAAGGTTTTTTTTTTTAAACAGTGCCCCCATGAGTACTCAAAGAATTGTAAAAATTATGAGCTTGGGTTGAGGACCATCGTTTGCATATTTTCCAATGCCGGTGAGGGGTGGGGCGTGGGCACGCCCATGCCACGCGGGTGGCACTGTGTGCTGGCTCAGTCTCTCTCACGGGCATGGTATCAGTATGTATCAGGACGCTTTAAAGAGAGCATACCTTGATCCACAATTTTACTTTTAGGAACTCTTACTAAAGAAGTTAAGAATATAAGCAAAGATTTAGGTACAAGATGTTTCTTGCACCAATGATGGAAATATTGTAAACCACATAAATGGCCAAAAATAGGAGATTGGTGCCCGCCTGTCAATTCATGAGTGGATAACTAAAATGTGGTATGTGCTCACAATGGAATATTACTCGATCCTAAGAAACGATAGTGAACTAGCACCGTTTATGCTATCCTGGATTAAGCTTAAGCCCGTAATACAAAGCGAGACGACACAAGACCTAGAAAATGGGCTCCACATCTACTCGCCATCAAATTGGTACTGACTGACTAAAACTATGGTGCTCAAAAAACGGTAGTGTTCAACAGGGATTTGGGGAGTGGGGGGAGACCCACATCTTAAGGATGTAGTGAGCATTATAAGTGGGAAGGGATTACCTCTATCCCTTTTTAGGGAGAGGCAAAGATACACACTGTAACCAAAATGTCTAAAAAAAAAAAAATCTGTCATTGGGAGGTGGACAGGTGGAAGGGGGGAGGAGGGGAAGGGCACGCACTTACATGGTGGGTGCAGGCCGCACCACTTGGAGGCTGGGCACGCTTGAAGCTCTGGCATGGCGGGGTGGGGAAGGGGGGCAGGGGCAACATATGTAACCCTAACAATATTTGTACCCACAGAATATGAGATAATATAAAAATTTAAAAAATAGGAGATTGGTGAACAAATTCAGTGCATCTATAATATGGTTTTTGTGTGGTCATACAAATGGTGAGGTTGAAAATTAGATGACAGTGAAAATGTCTTTATCATATTAATGGGGCTGACTTTTTTTCTTTTTGCAAGTAAAGCTGAAGATGCTGTACTCCTGAATGGGGCAGATAAGCCTATGTAGGTAAAGGAAATACACTGGTAATCCCCAAACCAGCTTTGAGAAATCATCTCAGCTTTCTTCCTGGTTTGAGTTTATTTAACAGTTTCTAACAAAAGTCACCGGATGAAAATATAGTTTACAAAACAGCATGTACTGCAGAGTCCCACCTATGTTTTAAAGAATGATGCATAAGAAAAGATTATACTCTAGAGTATGAATATGGATTGTTTCTGGCTGGTGAATTTATGAGTGTCTTTATTTACCTGTATCCTCACATTTTCTACCATAAATATGCATTGCCTTTTTAGCAAGAAAAGTGGGGTTATTTTTACTTATTTAAAATGTTTGTTAAATATTTGCCTTTTCATGCTTATAGGCCAGAGATTGGCAAACTTTTGCCGTAAAGGGCCAGATAACGAACTCTTGTAGTATCTCGAGCCAGACGGTCTCTTTCGTACCGCTCAGCTGCAAAGCACAAAAGCAGCCGTAGGTAGTATGTTGATGAGCAAATGTGACTATGTTCCAGTAACACTTGATTTTCAAAAAAGATAGCAGGGCTGGGCGTGTTGGCTCACGCCTGTAATTCCTAGCACTCTGGGAGGCTGAGGCAGGAGGATCACTCAAGGTCAGGAGTTTGAGACCAGCCTGAGCAAGAGTGAGACCCTGTGTCTACTAAAAACAGAAAGAAACTAGCCATGGACAACCTAAAAATATATAGAAAAAATGAGCCGGGCATGGTGGCGCATGCCTGTAGTCCCAGCTACTCGGGAGGCTGAGGCAGGAGGATCACTTGAGCCCAGGAGTTTGAGGTTGCTGTGAGCTAGGCCGACGCCACAACACTCTAGCCAGAGCTATAGAGTGAGACTCTGTCTCAAAAAAAAAAAAAAAAAAAAAAAAAAACAGGTGGGTTTGGTCCACTGGGTGTCATTTGGCGGCCACAGCTACAGGCACTTGGGGTCTAGATTAACTACCAGCTACATCCTTTGGGCCTTAGGTGTTGGCAGGCTCTTGTTCATTGCTCTCCTTTTTCAATGCACTTAGAAAAACCATATTATAATGGAATCCACGCTAGCAGGAAACTGTACTCTCTTTGCAAAGTAATCAAGTCTATTTTCCCCGCACTTTAAAACCATTCTTTGAAGGCCATTATTCCATTGTTATTTTGACTTTTTCTTTTTTCACTTGAAAAGGATCTTATTTGGCAGTCCTGAAGATCTTAAGGCTTTAGTTAAAGAAAAATTAAATGCTTGGTGGCGTTATTGTCTGGTGCTGAAATATTCATCTCTGCAATTAAATACAGGAGAAATGGGTAATGAGGCCTATTTCTTTTTCTTTTTCCAAGTAAGGCTTAAGATTCCATGCTCCTAAAGGGAGCAGATAAGCCTCAAACCTGCTTTAAGAAATCATCTCAACTTTCTTCCCAGTTTGAGAGTCTCCCCCTAGCAAAAGTCACCAGATGAATTTTGGATGTTTCTGTCACCTGCGGTATCGTGAACTGGATGCTGTGTTCATTGACCGCTCCTGGTTGTCACAAACATAGGGTGAGAGTGGGGAGGGGGTGGGGGTCTCCTGGGCCATCTGACCCAGTGGTCTTGAACCCAGTAGGACCGTGGGTCGCATGTGGGGACCTGTGTATCGTAGAATCCATCTCACAGCGTGGACTTGGGGTGGCTCCACCAGGGAAAATGCCCCGTGAGGCAGGCAGGTCCCACGGAGCTTCATGCAGCAGCTGGTCCTCCCCTTTCCACCCTTCCTGCTCACCTGCAGTGCAGAAGCACAACGGCAGAGCTGTGGCTCCTGGGCGCTGGGCGGTGCTGTCACCGTGCAGCCCTTCGGGAAGCACACGTGGTCCCGTGCGTGCCCTCTGCACACTCTCTCGTTCCAGCACGCGGGGGCCAGGACCCCCAAGGCTGCTGCAGCCGAGCCCCTCGGCACACACGCGGCTGTCCCAGCCCCGGGCACCCGAGTGCCACTTCTGTGGTGTGACAAGCCTAGGGTTGTCTCGGCACCGTGCGTTGGAGGCAGACCGCTCGTTTCACAGCTGTGCATTTCTCCCCTTCTGTCTCCCAAGAAATCGCAGGTGCTCCGGTGTCCGAAATTTCCGGGCCCTACTCGACAGATGACATGGCCAGCAACTGCGTCCCCGCCCAGTCTCTGAACGAGCCGGTTCTGTGGATCGTCTCCTACGCCCTCATGAGCGTGTGCGGCGTCATCCTGCTGGTGCTCATCGTGCTGCTGCTGCTGCCCTGCCGGTGCCCGCGGCGGCCCCGCGACCCCGAGGCCGTCAACGACGAGTCCTCGCTCGTCAGACACCGCTGGAAATGACGGGCACGGCCTGACCCCAGGCGACCTCGAACGCGGCGGTCCAGAACGGGACAGGCCGGGGCGGCAGGCAGGCAGGCAGGCAGGCAGGCGCGGGGTAGGAGGCAAAGCCGCTTCCTGGGCGCCGGCCGGACATCTCCGTCCTGCTCCCAGACGCCTTCCAGACTCACTGTATTCCAATCCATGCACTTAACGCTTCCGATTCTTCCTCCCCACTTCCAAGAAAAATGGTAATAAACTCCTCATTCTTAACCGAGTCAGAGTGAATTGGGATTTAGGCTTGACGGGACCGGTGACAGCTGCTTAGGTGTGCCACTGGAAAAAAAAACAAAAAAGCAAATGAAAACCCAACAAGCCTCAGCTTGCTCTTTCTCTTTGGTCTTTGGGAAAAGAACGCGCATAGTTGATACCCCTTCTAGCTTGCAGGAAGCTTCTTGTATAAAAAGCACATTTAAGGGTGTTCAGAAGGCTCGAGACAGGATGGCAGGAGAAGCAGCCCAGGGCTGATGCTGTGACCGCCCTGCCCCTTCTGAGTCGGAAGTGCAGCAGCTGCCCCTTTTGGGGGTCCCTCTCTGTGCTCTGAACGGGCGCTGGGAGTCTGCTAAGAGGTCACCGTCCAGCAGTCCTCACCAGCCTCCGCTGACGGCCTCCTGTGCGTGCAGGTAGCGTGGAAGGAAACCTGTTTTGTACCCAATGCTCCTGTGGTCTTCTTGGTGTGCACATGAAAAAGCTACCTCTTTTGAGACCTGGACCAGGGTCCTGTGCCCGGGGCAGGGTGTGGGCAGGCTGCCTGCAGCTGTCTCCCTCGCCCCAAGGAGTCCTCACCCCAACAGGTGCACATAACAGGTGCTGAAGTCCTGTGACCAACACAGAGAGAAGTCCTGCCACCGGGCTGGTCATGATCACACATGCTTACTCTTACTTAAAATTAATAAATAGTGTTTTAATGAGAAAAATTTTATTTCACTAGCTTAGTTTTTTTTTTTTTTTTTCCCCAGATCTTCTCTGGGAAAAGATCTGGGGGAAAAAAGATCGGTTATTAGCCTGCTGGGAGATAGCTACGTGCCCGTAACTTCCGAGCAGCTGCTGGGGAGGGAAGATGCAAGACGGGCGGAGGACGCGGAGGGAATTCCTACTCTTTCCTGTGCTTCGAAGCCACGTGTCTCCCTCCCAGGACCGCAGGCCGGGGCAGCCCACGCGGGTCTGCTCGGCGGCTGACCTGGGTGCTCCCTCCCCCGGGCGAGGTCCGGGTCTGGTGCCCGGTGTGCAGCGGGGTCCGTCTCTGGGGAGATCCCCAACTCTGTCACTTATTCAAGGCCTTTGCCAAAGAAAAGTGGAAGCCTTTATCTCCCTGTACCCAGCCTTTAACTCTCATGTAATTAGGAGAAGGGTGCGAAGCCAGTGCCGTATCCCTTCTGTCTTGTTTGTGTGCCAAGTTCAGTGTTCGCTTCGCTTTGCTGTTGGGGTGGGTTCGATGTGTAACGAAATTCCACCGATGTGCTAAATGTCCCCTCTTGCGGGAGTGTCATTTGTGTTCTCAGCAGGTGACGCAGGATGTTCCGGCCACCTGCTCTGCTCACGGGGCCACCTCCATATGAGAAATGCGTGGCCGTGCCAAAGAGACACGGAGGCCACTCGGGCTGGCCATGATGTCCCCGAAGACACTCCAGCAGCCAGAAGAGGCTTCCGTGTGATTCTAGCGAGAGAAGATTTGAGTTGCATCCCGGAAGGAGCAGGAGGGACTGCAATGGGAGGCCAGGTTTCGGGGATCAGGTGCCCAGTGTCATGTCTGCTCCCAGCTCTTGGAAGAGCTAATCGTTTCAAAACACATTTCAAACTTAAGAGATCTCCAGAAGTCCAATTCACTTCTTGCCCTGTTAGTTTTCTCAGCGGTTCCTGTTTTGCGGGCCACTTTGCACAGAAGTGACGCCAGCGTCCCTAGACTGTGCCTTCCCCGTGCTCTGAAAAAATGCAAACCCCTGAAATGAAAGGAGGGAGCCGCAGGTGTGACCCGGCCCGTTTTGCCGCTGATTCCTCCGTACAGGCGTCTTCCGTCTCATTTTGTCATCGTGTGAGGTTGCGCGGTGGGGAAGCTTCCCACGGCGGCGGGTGGGCGGGCTGCGTTCTCAGGATGCCTGACAAGTCCGTCTCCAGGTAGGGCAGTTGAAGGAAGTTTGCTCCAAGTCTGTATCGCATATCACATTTCTCCTCCTTTTCATCTCAGACATCATTGGATGTGACATTTTAATGAAAATACTTAAATTACAGAAGCATAACTTAGCAACAGGAATGAAATAGACACCTGAACGCAGGCCGTTTCCTGGCATGCCTCGCCACTGGGAATTGGACTTTGACTCAAAACCCTGTTAGGGACGCCCACGCCCTGCAGCTATGTAAATTGAGGCTTAGCTTGGCAAGCCTTCAAGGAGGTTTGCTTTGAACAGGAGAGGAGGTGGCAATCATTTGAGGGTGTCACTTTCTACCTTGTAATGCCCTGTGGAACGTGCAGGACGATGGTTCCCCCTGCCTGAAAGGTGCAACTGAGCATTAGGTTGTCGTCAGAAACCTTGTCAACTCTCTGATGGAGAAACAGACACTCCTGGGTGAGTGAACAGCGCTCTTTTCAATAGGACGAGGCTCTGTGTTCTCGACAGCTCCTTCGCAAGTCTGAAAGGAAATCCTGCCTTCAGTCACTGAAACTGTTTATGAAAAATAGCAAGAAGATCGAAGGTGAGGATTGATTCTGTTTCTCCCGGGAAATTAAAAGAACCGCAAGTGACTTGGTATCAGATCTCCTAGCATAAACCGTATACTGTTTCCTCTCTCTGCTAAACCAAAAACAACTACCTAGCATTGAAGAAAAAAACAGATGTCCTGTGTGTGACCACGAGGAATGTTTTTCCTGAACACGTTCTGCTTCTGAACGTTTGGGAGGGCTTTGCCTGATTCATCGTGAAACGCGAGAGGCTTTGGTGGGAGATGCATTTGGGGTCAGTGACTTCAAAATTTCCAATGTGGTTCCCAGCAAGACAGCATCACTGACTCCACAGAGCTCTGGGTGATGGATTTTGAAAGGCGGCTGTGATTTGGGAATTGCATTGTCTCATTTAAGAGGCGAGGAGGGATTATTTAATTATTTAATAGGCTTGGCCAAGCGCGAGTGAGAATTTGTTAAATTCCTCTCGCCATGTCCCTGCTTGGAGGAACTGCCACACATGGTTCAGTTCTGAGTTCTGGCCTAGTGCCACTCGATGTCACTGGGAATAAATCACCGTCCAACCGTCTGTTCCATAAACAACAATAATTAAGTTTCACAGTCCTTATCCTTATTAGTGGAAACCAAATAATTGGGTGGAATCCCAGTGTGTTTTCTCTGGCACAAACGTATTAGAATTGATTGTAGAACTGTTCAGAGGAAAAACTCGCCGCTAAGAATTTTTTTTAAAGAAAAACAAGCAAACACCATAAAATGCAAGACTATGGGTTTTGCCAAGAGACCTGCTAGATTTTTTTTGGTGCCAAGAAAACTGCACATGGCAGAAGTTACTGTGTACATCTCTAGCAGGTCTTAACAATTTCATATTTGAACTTATGGCAGTTGACCAATTAAGTAGCAAGCTGGAAAAATACATTTTGAGAGTAGGGAAGGAAAATAAGAATATAACTAAAAGTATGCTAACAAAATAAGCAGAATTAGCTCTTTTGGAAAAGGAACTTAAATTCCAGGCGTCCTCGGATTTTTTTTTTTTTTTTTACCCTTAAAGTGGCTGAATCCATCGGAGCTGTGATTTGTCTTGCGGAGCCAGCAACCCCAGACTTCAAGAATATTCAACGTTGACATTGGCAAAAGGAGAAAATGTGGCCTGGTGGCCTGCGTGGTGCCCACACCGAGCAAGGATTGGTGCATGCTTGGGACGGAGTGGAGACTTGGTAAATTCCAGAATTGGGGAAGGAGGTCGTACCCCGCTGTGGGCAGTTGGCCGTGAGAGTCTGCACAGCCGAGGACACCGGCAGGATGCACAGCACCCCATTGCACCCCAAGTTTTTGGCACAGCCGATTTTTTTTTAGGAATTTTGCAAAGGAACTCCTCATGATCGAAAATTTGTCAGAACAATTAAGCCAAGAGAAAAACTGCTTTGTGGTCACGTTTAGAGCATGTCTGTCCTAATGAGACTAGAGGTGCCGGAACACTCCTGGTGGCAGTTGCCCTTTTTGTGTCATTGAGAGCCGGAGCAGCCCGGACCTGACCTTGTGGGGGACCTGACCCTGCGGGCCCAGCCCTCAGGTGCTGGAGGTCGTGCAGTCTCCTGCTCCAGGACTGTCCTCTATCAGAGACACTCCAGAGAAGGAGCTTGAGGCTCCCCCCGGCGCTGCTGCCAGCCTCTGTGCCCTCGGGCTCCGGCAGCCCTGGCAGGTCCAGGTCGGTCGTCCTGGGGCACAGCCAGGCCTGTGGGGGAGGAGCCGGGAGTCCACATTGCCCCGAGCTGCCCAGGGGAGAACGGGGAGCACAGGTGGGCTTGGGCAGGTGCCCTGGGCTGGCGGTGTGTGCCAGCCTGGAGGTAACGGAAGGCCTTTAGCAAAATTTGTGGAATATGGACCTGAGAACAAGGCCACCCCTCCTAGTGACATCAGCGTGTGGGCAAACCCTCTAGTCCCGTCAGTGACCAGAATCAGGCGAGAGCATTGAGCAGCTTCGACTGATAAATACAGCCTCTTCTCCCCTACCCACGAGGTTTCTTACAATCGGATGTTACCTACAGATGTCTCATGCTGCTAAACTGAATTGCACCATGTACTTTTTACAGCGCACTTGCTCTCAGCAAGCACAGGGTAGGTGAAGGCTGGGCCAAGGGGCACCGTAAATCCAGCCGGGGCCAGAGCGCCGTGGGGGACCGGGTCTCTGGCCCAGGCTCTGTGTGCCCCATGCTCCCTTCGGGGACTTGCTTAGACACCGCCGTGAAAGCAGTGGTTCTGGATCTTTCCAGTTAGCATCTCGGAAGACAAGAAAGGACGGGGATGGTAAAACATGTCTCGCCTCTGGGAATCACCCGGCAGCATGAAGTGGGCATGCATCTCCCTGTACAGATGGAGGATTGTTTGCGTAAGACCAACGGGGTAAAGTCTAAGCTGTGTGTAACACGCGTGCGCCTCACACATGGCGGTCTGAGCAAACTCTTCTGCCGCTGCGGATTTGCGGTTATAACATCATATAGCTATAAACGATGGATCTGTAATAAAGACTTCAAATAAGCTGTCTTTTTTAGTGGCATCAATAAAAGACTAGAAGCCTTGAGCAGCCTTTGCAACCTGCCTCCTTTAACACCGATGTCTTTCCGCAGGATTTTTTTCATTTGGGTTGAAATACAGATGCATTTTTATTCACAGTGCATGCACAGATCAGAATATCATAAGGAGGCAAATGTCACCAAAGGTCAGGGCTGTTTTTCCCTCGGTTAAATGCTATAGATACATATGGAGGGAAGGAGGTTGTTGACAGTTTCTTGTTATGACAGGTTTCAGCTTGCCGCTACCTTGTGCCCATCGAAGTCAAATTTTACAGTCAGATTTCACATTTCTGATGTTATCGCTTCTGAATGGAAATGTCAAGAAAGCATTAAAAAGATCTCTTTTTGAGATTAAAGAAGTGAACAAATCTAATGATCTGTTAGTCTATGATGAAAATCACACGAAGATAAAATTCCTTAATTTTTATGCAATTTTGCATTCTTTGTTGCTAGTGATCTAAAACTTGGCATTGTTTTTTCTCCCCCCCCTCATTTTCCTAGTTGTAGCTGTAATGTCTCACGGCCATACCACTGAGGTTTGAAGTTCCGGGTAGCAGCTACTCAGTACATGTGAGAGGACAGAGAACGAATGAGATTTGTCATGCGCTGTGAAAGCTGACTTTTTGTAATCTGAAACGATGTATTTCCCGCTGCTTCTGTTAATTTGCACTGTTAAAAGTTCTCTAAATCTAAAACACCTATGTTCAGTCATTTGAAGAGGCCGCTCATCTTTTCTTAAAGTGGATGGCTTTTCTGCTGTGCCCGCAGCCAGTACTTTGGTTCCGGTGTAAGAGCTGCAAGCTGCGTATTCTAAAACAGACCCTAAAAGTAGTGCTTTGCAAAATGTATTTTGTGTATATCTCAGATTAACATCCTTTAATACATGATTCTTAAAGTGTAACTAGTATTTCCAGAAATGCTTAAAATTATTTTATATTTCCCTTTTGGAATTCTTCTCTATTTCCAGTACACCGAGTTGATTTAAACTTGTGCTGAGACCAAGCATTAAAGGATATTCATTCCGTCCTAGAAGTGGCTTCCTAAACACTGACAAATGTCCAAACCATTGTGCCCTCCAGAGCTGGAGTTTTCTAAAATAATCTTATTTTTGTATTTGTATGTTCCACCAATTTAAGGTATATACAACTGAAGAGAGAAAACACTTTTGTTTACTTGAATAAATAATACTTCCAACTTGTTGGGTTTGGAATCTTTTTTTAATACTGATTTCTCTTGGGTCACACTTCCCAAATGACCGTAGGTGACGTGTCAGGTTCTGTTTACTACTTCAAAGTGGGTCCCTGGGAAGTAGCAAAGATAAAAATGAATGGCGGGGGAGGGGGTGTTCAGGTTCAATCATTAAGGTGCAAAACGTGCTGGAAATGGGGAAGGAATAAAGCGCTTTGAAATCTGGAAACCATACAGGCGGAGAGAAACCACCAGTAGAAAAGAAACCACCCCCCCAAAAAAATAATAATTAAAAAAAAGACCAAAAAAAAAGAAACCCAGTGCGCACTTGTCCGCAGTCTTAAGGCTGGGACACGGCCACTCGGTCACCAGATTAGCAACGCCTGTACGAGGTCACTCTCAGTTACCTTGCAGGGAGGTGGAGTCCTCACTCACCTCGCAGGGAGGTGGTGACCTCCCATTTTACAGATGAGAAATCAGCTCTGAGTCGCCTGCCCCGGAAAACTCAGCTAAAACAGCGTTCCCCCGGGGAGTGGGACCCAGCTCTGTGCCCCTCCAGACGCCATACTCTCTCTGCACCACACCCTTCTGCCCAGCAGTCCTGAGCCACCGCCCTGCAGAGCCTGGGGCATCCTTCGTGCACGAAAGAGCCAGTCCCATGGTCCAGTCTCTAGAGAGGGTGGGTGTGCACCAACTCGGGGCACAGCTGCAACTTTTCATGAATGAAACAGAGACCATGCGTGAACCGTGATCTAGCTGCTGCTCTCATCCTTTAAAAATATGCTTCTTTCAATAACTAGACCCTTATTGTTTGACAATGCCCAGAGGAGAGAGAAAAAAAAGAATTTCCAACAATTAGGAGGTGAGGCAATAGTTGCTGGAGGCACAGAATGGGATTTTTTACTTTCTAATAATGAAGGAGGTGACTTGACTTCTAGGCTAGACTCCCAGGTTTGTCGTATTTTGCCATCTGTAAGCGGTGGGTGGCGTAGCAGATGGAATGTCACAGGGCTGTCACTAGGTGGCACCATTGTGAAGCTTTGCGGTGCAATGTCTGGGCTGCTTGTAGCTTTCACAAGCAACTTTTTAATCACATGTGGGCAATTAACTATGAAATGTCCGATTTCCTTGCGAACTAAATTGATATCTCTGAGATTTCATTTTGACACTATTTTTATTATTGTGAAAATACATCATTCCCTCAAATACACAGTTTGGCTTGTGATTATCTCTCCAAAATTTTTTTTTTTTTTTTTAAAGCAAATTTTGTGAAACCAGGATACGTCAAAATTTGTGTTATTTCAAATACGAGTTCCGTCGTGGGACCAATGCTTCACAGACAGCCCAACATAGCACGCAGTGTTTGGGAAGGATGTGGCTAATGAACGCACAGTTGAGAAGTTCCCCACCGGTGAGTTTAACCTTTGAAAACGAGCCACGTGGGCGACCTGAGACAAGGTGGATGATGATGAGCTGAGGCTGTAGTGGAGGCGAATCCATCTCCGCCTACTTGTCAGTTAGCTGCAAGGTTTGATGTTACTATTTCAACAGCACTGACCATTTGAACGAATTGCAAGGAGAGAAGCTGGATAGATGAGTACCGCATGAATTAATGAGCATCAGAAGAGAAATTGTCTTGAGGCTTGCTTTCTTGCTTGTCAAGATGAAGTGCCAAAACACAGTCCAAAACCGAATTTCATCAAGAAAAGCTAATGGTGTTGGGAGGTCCAGCGTGGTAACATCCACCAAGTCCTGAAACCTGGTCAGTCAATGACAGCCGCAAGTGTGCTGCAACCAATGGACAAAATCATGAGATGCTTGCGATTAAGCAGCTGGATTGTCAACAGAGACAGGCCAGTCCTTTTGCAAGCAACATGTCCCACAAGCAACGCTGCTCAAACTACAGCAGCTGGACTTGGAAACTCTCTGTCATCCACCGTGTTCACCAGACCTTGTACCAGCTGACTCCACTTCTCCAGGCTTTGGACCACTTCTGCAAAGAAAAATATTCAATTCCAACAAGCCGTGGAAGACGCCTTTTGCAATTTCATCGCCATTCGTTCTCCAGGCTTCTTTGCTGCTGGCAGGAACCAGCTACCGTTAAGATGGCAAACCTGTGTCCGTAGTTTAGGTGCACACTTTGATTAATTGCACTGCTGCTTGTTTAAGTCATAATAAACTACACTTTGATGTGCAACCTTTGGGGGATGGTCACGCTTGAAGCTCTGACTCGAAGGGGGGAGGGGGCCACGGCAATATATGTAACCTTAACTTTGTACCCCATAATATGGCTGAAAATAAAAAAAAAAGAAGGGCCAGATACATAAAGAAAACAACTGGATATCACATTAAATATTGAAGCACCGCAGTGAGTAGAGAAGTAATAGTAATGATTTAGGAAAGAAAAATAAGATTGGCTGACTCCTGAAAAAAAAGACAGTAATAAACTACACTTTTTGATTTGAAATAGGACACTTCATACGTAATGACTAAGTCTAACCCAGAAACTACCCAAGGATGCCACTTCTTCCATTCTGGAATCTGGAACCTGAAATCAAGCCAGCTAGGTATGTACCATAAGCTTAAAGATATTCCAGATATATGCGTGCGGCCTGGCCTGTTCCTGGGCCTTCAGAGTGGAGGCTCCAAGTGCTCTCTGGACACGTGCCTGGCTGCACGCTGGGATGGAGCTTGGGCAGAGAGGGGCCAGGAGTCCATAGGTGCTTTGGTTAAATGCAGCAGTTCAGATTCGAAAGACGCAGTCTGTCTGATTGCCGGACCATGATCTGCAGTCTATGATGCTACTGGCTTTGAAAGGTTTAAAAAAAAGTGAATGAAAGTGATTTTTTTTAATTAAAAATTATGCATGCTAAATCAAATGCTGCAAGGAATACCACTGAGGAGATATTTGTGACAATAAGGGCGGACGCTGGCATTTATCACAGCAAGTTCTGGCCTGCGTCATGGCATTTCTCGCTCGAACAGCCTCATCCACTACAGAACACGCGCTACTAAAGTTATTCATGAATCCCGGGACGGGAGACAGGGGCCGCGAGAGACACAGGTCCAGAAACCAAGGCAGGCTCGGGACAGGAAATCTTCTCCAGGAGAGACTCACAGGCCCAAGTCTAAGCGTGTCCCCGTGGGTTCAACAAACTGAAATCAGAAGGCCTATGCTTACTAACCACTCCAGCAGAGCGTCGCTGTAGTTCGATAGGCACAGATGAATCGGCACAGCCGAGCGTCGACTGTAGTCGATAGGCACAGATGAAGCGGCACACAGGCCGGAGCGTCAGTACGGGCAAGCGCGTCGTGTAGTCCGATAGGCGCACAGATAACGGCCAGCAGCCGAGCGCGACTAGTCGATGCACAGATGAACGGCACGAGCCGGCGTCGCTGTAGTCGATAGGGCACAGATGAAGCGCACAGGGCCGAGCGCGCTTAGTCGATAGAGACGCGACAGAGACTGAGTCGTAGGCAAGATAGCGCACAGCCGAGCGTCGCTGTAGTCGATAGGCAGGATGAAGCGCAGCAAGCGAGCACCGGCGGCATAGAATAAGCAGTCGTACGACGTAGTTAAATTTGATTGACTTTTCTAATTTTCATTTATCAAATCTGTGAACATTTAAGTACCGTAATGAAACATGATGTTATACGTCTATTCTGATTGTAATGACAAGTAAGAGCTTGCCTGTAAAAGTAAAGACCAGCTTTCAGCGCTTTCAAGCTTTCTCATCACACAAGGAGCAAAACGAGCGCGTCGTCAACCACAGCGGCAGACCACCTGCGGGCTGTGGAGTCGGCTGCGGCGAGGCTTCCGCGCCGGTGAGCGCCCGCACTGAAGTGTTAAATAACACTCACTACAGGCGGGCGCGGTGGCTCACGCCTGTAATCCTAGCACTCTGGGAGGCGGCGGGCGGCATTGCTCAGTCAGGAGTTCGAACCACGCTGAGCAAGGCGAGACCCGTCCTATATAAATAGAAAGAAATTTAATGTCGGATCTAATTATATGTAGAAAAATACCGGGCAATGGTGGTCCATGCCTGTATCACCAGCTACTCGGAGGCTGAGGCAGGAGGATCGCTTGACGCCAGGAGTTTGAGGTTGCTGTGAGCTAGGCTGACGCCAGGGCATCACTCTAGCCTGGGCAACAAAGCAGACTCTGTCTTCAAAAAAATAAAAAAAATAGCATATACAAAATTGTATACAGATGAGCAATGTGTTACCAATTCTTTATTTTTGCATTCGAATGCTATTGATACTGGCGCTGCTGACCCTGGAGGGCACAGCCCTCCCCTCATGCAAATCCCCAGCCAGAGCTACATCCAGCCTTCTCCTTCGTGGCTCTCACGCTCAGGCTGTAACCCCGTGGCTCTCACCCGGGCTGAACCAGACACTGCACAGGCCTATGCCCCAGAGCCCGCTGATTTTCACTGGCTAATCCTAAACCTGCCTCTTCGTTCCTTCCAGACGAAGCCACAGTAAAGCTCTTCCCCTCCTCTGTCTCTTAACCTGACCCAATCTGTCCCCGGTGTGCACCTGCAGTGTTCCAGGCCTTCTGTTTTTGTGGTCTGTGAGTATACAAAAGCCTCTTCGCCTTTTGCCGGTCATTTCATGTCTACCTTTAACCCACCACTCATTGGACAAATCCGGTACCCTAAAACACCAAAGAAGAATATCAAGCAGAAAAACTGCAAATGCATCCAAACCCCACAGCTGGCCGTAGGAGTGCGATGCTTGAGAACAGAGACGTGTTCAAATCTCATTAATAATTATGCAAGAAATATTCACGTCGTTACAAATCAAATGAACAAAGCGTTTGGGATTAGTGGCTGCCCAACAAGGTAGGCAGCTCTCTACTCTTGCTCATGGAGTGCCAGTGCAACTTATCATTCCAAAGAGCTCTAAAATACCTCAGTCAATCTCTGAATCGATACTTCTTTAGGAAATCTATCCTAAAGAGGTAGACAATGTGGGCAAAACAAAGATACGGTGTAGAGTAAAAA